TTCTAGATAAAAATTTGATTCTAGATGAATTAGCCAAATCTCAGAGAAAAGTAGACCTCTCTTTATAAATTCAAATCATATAATTGTAATATTTTCTTAGTCATAAAATTTTTATATGTAAAACTTAATTATAATGAATTTTTAGTCATGATATTTTTATACTATATTTAATAATAGTATTGCACCTACAATAAGAATTATTTATATAATATACTCATTTGTATTAAATATAACTGTTAAATTATATTTTTTTGAATTGCATACAAGAATTACTTATATTTTATTGTAATTTTATTTTTTTAAAATATAGATATTAAAATAGTAATCTGTATAAAAATTCTAATTTTCAAATTTATTTTTTGTATATAAAATAAACACATAGTTAAATAAAGGGTTTATACTAAATAAAATTGTTAAATTGTATTTTTTTAGCAAGAATTACATATTTTATTGCAATTTTATTTTTTTAAAATATAGTTATTTATTCAATTTTTAATATAATAATCTGTATAAAATTTATATATTTTGAAATTTATTTTTTTATATATTATTAAAATAAATACATAGTTAAATAAATACATAGTTAAATAAATAAAGTTAATAATAAATAAAATCTCTGCAAAATATTGTTATATGCAAAAATTTAATTAAAATAATTATTTTTAACATAGAATAAGATATATTGAGTTGATCATAAAATTGGAAGGTTTGGGGGGAGGCAAATTTTTTTTACATCGAATAGATTGAATTAATATACAATTTACTAAATATTGATAACATTTTCAAAATAATGCTTTCAGTCGCTTATTAATTATAAATTTGGCAAAAATTTTAATTCTAATATTTTTTAATATTTATGCTGGCCTGGGTATAATACACAAAATATTGGCAAATTTTGATAAGGGGGTTTGGGGGCGAAGCCCTAAAAAAAAATTTTCAAACCCCCCCCCCCCTTCCCCCCCATGGATTAATTCTGGCTACGCCACTGGATGGCGTTATGGCTGGATCACTATATGAGAGTCTTTGATTCTAGGAGGCCTACCTTAATCCCATCCACTAGTCAAAGTGTTGGACAATTGGACGCAAACTTTTCATTGGCTTAAATTGTGGCCGCTATTAAGAAGCTTAGGAATAATAAATGTCCGGGTACGGATAACATTACAGGCGAACATCTGAAAGCAGCTCCCTTAACGATCTCTCGGTTCTTACTGCCTTTGTTTAACAAGATATGGTTTACTGGGATGATGCCAGCGGATTGGAATAGGACTATCTTTTGCAACTTACCGAAAATTCCAAATTTATCTAAATTCAAGGATTATAGAGTCATCGCTCTCACGTCTATTTGCATCAAAAGATTTTATGGTTCTTTTAAAAAACCGCATTCTTTCCTCTACACCAAACCTTTTGTCTAAATACATTTGTGCTTACCGTCCAAGTAGAAATATAAACGAACCAATATTAGCTTTAAAGATTATAATGCAGAAATGTGAGAAGTATAAATAACTTTTTACTTTATTTTTATCGACTTTAAACGTGCTTTTGATAATGTTAAACATGATGCGCTTTGGAAGATTTTAACCGAATGTGGCATTGACTCTAATATTATAAGGATCCTTAAAACACATTATAGTAGTTTTTTTGCCTCCTTAAAAATCAATAATAAGGTTTCTCCATCTTTTAGGACAAAGAAAGGGGTAGTGTTCTTTCCCCGCTATTGTTTAATATACTTATGAATAAAATCATATGCGAAACTCTTAGAATTAAGATCCAGTCAGTCGTTCTTCTTGGAAAATAGGGTGATATGTTATGCTGATGACATAGTATTGATAACAAAAAGTTTGGAAGAAACCCAAAATTTGATCTCTATATTGAACTCCTTTAGTTTTAAGGTTGACTTGGATATAAACTTTGATAAAACAGTGATAATGTCCTCGTCTCAGGCGCCTCTTCTGAATAATTTGGTGGTTGGGGGAAAGTTGGTTAAGGTGATGAAATCCTTTAAATATCTAGAGTAACCATTGACAATAAAGGTAGTTGCAAAGTGGAACTAAAAATTCGTATACAAAATGCTAGGGCAGCTTTTTATAAATTTTTTAAACTGTGGAAAGCTAGAGAGATATCCGTTTTGACAAGACTCCGTATTTTCAGCTCAACCATCATCCCGATTCTCTTTTAGCGGTGATACATTGGAGATTACCAAGACCGAAACTAGGAAATTACAAACGTTTGTAAATAAATGCTTAAGAATAATAAATGGAATTTTCTACCCTAATATTATCTCAAATGGAAACCTTTGGAAGATGTCTAACCTACCCAAGTTCACGTGTCTTTAAAAAAGAAGCGTCTTACTCTCTTTGCCCATATTTTGAGAAACGATAGTAAAAATAACCTCGTTATTGATGCCATTAATTCCTAAGGCTAAACAAACACAAAAAATCTATAAAGAAATTACTAAAAATTAAATCGAACTAACTAAACCTCTCATAATTTTTTTTTTAAATTTTTTTATTTCTGTATTTCAGGTTATTTAATTTCTTCATTTCTCAATTTACCTCCTGACTTTGTCTTTCACCTTTTCTGTGAATTACTAGCTTCACTGACATTAGCTTTTATTTATCTTATTGACTTAATGTACTAATTTAAAACAGTCCGTCCCATATTTTTAATTACACATACAATGTCTGTTGTTGTACTTCTATACATTTTTCCCATTATATGAGTTAAGATATATTAATGGCATTTGAGAAATAGTTTGTGATTTACGTTTCTTATGTGGGCTAGAATTAATCTTTGGCTTTTTTTAACTTAGTTTTTGGGTATGTTTTGTATTTTTCCATAGATTTTGAGTTCGAAATGTTTCTGGGGTAGAGGGTATCCTCTTTTGTTTATGAGACATTTATTTGTTTATGGTCATCTATTTCTTTTATTTTATTTTTTTAATTTATTTTTTACTTCCCCAGTTTCTTTGGTCTCTCTAACATGTCCGCCCCCTCCATAGATTAATATAGGAATAGTGGATGTGCCCTCAGTCTAGAAAATACCGATTTCTCTCTTATCTTCCATACTTTTTGTATACGTTTAAAAGTTTCCACTCACCTTTGTATTCTAATTTTTCTTCTTCTTTGCAACTACTTTTATTATTAAGTATATTTCCTAAATACATTGTGACTACATTTACCCTGTTCTAACTATAAGTTTTTGAAGTGGTTACTTGTTTTTCTTGGGAAAAATAAGGAGGAAAACTGTTTTTTTTTATTCATTTCAATATTTTTCTTTATTATTGCTAGTTAAATAGATTTAACGTCTTTAACTTTTTTCTTTTTCAAAACATTACATCTTAATTGGAGTCTAAATATAATACATTGGTCGTTCCCAGTGTTCTCTTTTATTTTTATGTTTTTATTTATTTAGGAGTGGCAAGAGTTTAGCCTTGTTTTACTCCTTTTTACATTGGAGGTAGGGGATTTTCTTCGTCATTGATTTCGAAGCATCCAAACATGTATTAGTGGTTTTCTGGATCTGGAAGATGTTGGGGTCTTCCCTTTTCTGACAACGAAGCTGCATGGTTAACATTATCAATAGCTCTGCTATAATTTATAAATGTAAAGTAGAAGGGGGTTTGTACTTACTTTTTCTGCATGATTATTTTTCTGAATTAATTTTTGGCTCCAGTATATTCTTTTCTTGGCCTGTATATACTTATGTATTTGGGGGGGGGGGGATTCGGTGTAGGTGATATGCTTGTGGTTTTTGAGTGAACCAAAAAAATTTTTTTCCCATGCTACAGGATGTGATGGCTATAGCTCAGAATTTCTGTGGTTTTAGTTTTTTGGGTAGTTACTTAGGTAGGATTTGTTCAATCCCACTGCAGTAGTTCCGCTCTCCTATATTTTATTGAAAGAGGGCTAATAGGTAGCGAGATATTGTTATAGGTGCTATTTTTGGTTTTTCTGCTGTGATATTATCTAGCCCCGGAGCTTTGTTTTCCCTTAGGCTGCTTTCATAGTGGAGACGGTTCCGATTTGACGTCAAAACATCTGATATGACGGCGTCCGACAAGGCTTTCATTATGAATTTTTTTATAACAATTCGACTTAAACAGATTAGACATTATTTTATTTTTTAAATATTAAATGGACTTTTTTCGTCTGCGGGAAAATGACTGATGTTAAATTGCCACCTCCAAGAAATAATGATATCTATCAATTCTACAAATACTTCTATCACTCACAATTTCATTTTCAAGCACACTATATTCCTTAAATATTTACTTTGCGACTACATTTTTTATGACATGAAAAGCCTGACTTCTACTCTTCTGAATCAAAACTCTAGTAAATTCTTTCAAATGCATGGAAGATGTTTGGGAGAGTAATGAGACTCTTTTTTAATTGCTGAGGATTATACATAACCCATAATATATCTCTGTCAAGTTATTACTTTTATTCATTAATTTTTTTATTTTTTCTAGATTCAAAGAAATAAATTCTCTTCTTTATTTACTAATTTATCTCAATCAATTCATCATAACTTAATTCTTTCTTATCTTCTCCAATTCTTTACCTAAGCTACTATAAAGTTTAGCAAGTAGCATTATAAATCATTTATTTATCTTTTATTTCAATTATTTATTTCCTTTAACAATTTATTTTTTCTATATATTAATCTTATTAACTTATTTTAAACAAAATAATATAAATCAACATTTAATATAATTACAACTTCTTTCTTAAACAAAATTTAACTTTAATCCTCTCTTACTTAATTTCATGGATATTTTCTTATTCATCATTTCTCTTGTCTGCTTTTTCCTTTTTCAATTTTCCAAGTATCGTCTGCTTATTTTTTCCCCATTTTTTTTCTATTTCAAAATTCAAATTTATCTTACAATTTACTTTAAAATTTATATTATGTCAATTTTCAAAAATCTAACAATCTACTCCTACAACATTCCTGGCCTACTTTCAAAAACAACTATACTTAGAAAACTCCTTGATCAATATGATATTAACATTATTTTAACACAAGAATCTCTTATTACCAATAATATATAAAAAAAAAGAGAAAACAAAAAAAAATAAATAAATTACAAAAACTAATTCTTCTTCCTCTTTACTCCTTAATCACCCCCCCCCCTCCCCTTTTTTCTAATACATATTCCTATCTTATCTTTTATAATAAATAAACATTATTTACAATGTGGATCCTGGCTTATCCACGAGTGGTACCCGTTATCCCACTCAAATTAAACGGGACCCTGACAGTAGGGTAAATTACTGTCAACTTTGTGGATCCTGGCTTATCCACGAGTGGTACCTGTCATCCCACTCACAGGGCCCAGACAGTAGGGTAAATTTTCTGCCAAACAGTGAATGCAAATTCACTGCACTGGAGACGCCCTCTATGGGGTGGTGGAGTGCCCACTTAATTGTGGGATGTCTCCCCAGTGTATAATATGATATGATTTATTTTTTAAAATGAACCAATATTCCTTAGTTAAATTATGTATTATATATGATCTCTTATTCAAGAAAGAAAAAAATATAGTTAATTCGAAAAGGAGGAAGGAGGGAGCATATTTTACTTTGCTGCCAAAATTACTTAAAGATGACCTCAAGTTTTATAATTACATGCGTATGAAAAAAGTGAGTATATTATTAAATATAGTATTTTCATAATTCCATTTTAAAAAATAGGAAACGTTTTATTATATACTAAATCATAAAATTTACAATCACAAAAAAAGAAAACAAATTTTATCAAGAATCAAATTACATCAGATGAAAAGTTAATGATTACCCTGAGGTATTTATTTATAGTTTTTTTTAACCTGTATATATCTTATAAATTTATTAAAATTAGCTTATCATATATATTAAAATAATTTAATATTTAATATTGAGATCTAACCCTTATATTTATATTAATAAAGTTGAAAAACTTATTAATTATTATTTTTATCAGACACATTATATCTTATTACTTATTTTTATAATTTAAAATACATTTTTATAATTTCTTACTGCATTTCATCTAGATATCTTGCAACTGGGGATTCATATGTCTCCATGTCTTATAATTATAAATTAGGAGTATCTACTATTAAGCAAATAATAGGAGATACAACCAAGGCTTTATGGGATATTTTGCAACCTATCCATATGATGGTACCTACATTACAGATGTTTGAGGAAGTAGCTCAAGGCTTTGAGGAGATGTGGAACTTCCCAAACTGTATAGGTGATAGATATAATTATTTTTACTATATTAAAATTTAATATTTTACTAGGGGCCATTGATGGGAAGCATTGTAAGACAAATAAGCCTCCGCACACAGGAACACAGTTTTTCAATTACAAGCATGGATTTTCAATAATCCTTCAAGCATTGGTGGATCATAATGGCAAATTTATGGTTATAGATGTTGGCAGTTATGGAAGCCAAAGTGATGGAAGAGTCTTTGCTCACTTCTATCAAAAAGAATTGAAAATGGTGAGCTCCCAATTCCACCCCCTAAGCTTTTACCTAATTCAAATATAGGCCTCATGTTATTTTAGGGGATGGAGCATATCCTCTGAAAAGATATTTGATGAAACCATATATTAAAAATAATAATAATGATTTTAAAATATTTAACTACCGCCTATCCCGGGCAAGAAGGATAGTGGAGTGTAGTTTTGGGGTTTTAACCTCAAAGTGGAGAATTTTATTAAAACAGGTTGAGGTTAGTCTATCTGTTTTTGAAAACATCATTAAAGCAACTTGTATTTTGCATAATATAATATTAAGTAAAGAAAATTTAAATATAATAAGTTTTGATCCTGTTGGTTCAAATTATCCTTTATGTAACCAACAGAGTATTAAAAATAGTTCAGATCAAAATAAAAAAATAAGAAATTTATTTAGGAATTATTTTAATAATATAGACATTTTGCCCTCGCAAACTAATATTTTAAATTAATATTTTATTTTTCAATATTTTGAATTTATATTTATTAAATTTCTTTATATTTTTTGGTATATATTTTATTTTTATAAAAATACAAGAACTTGTTAATAAAATAATTATTTTCAATTTCCCATGTTTTATCCTCAGTGTAAATATCTTGTATACTTAGTAAGCCTTGACTAATCAAATTTATTTTTATCAGACCTTTCCTGATATGGTACTTAAAATGATATAATTATAGGTCAGGCTAAGTTTAAAAAGCACAAAGCAAATATTTATTATTTTGTAATAAAAAATTTATAATATGTTTAATAATTATAATATATTTATTTTATAATAAAAATTTTAAAAATATATAATTTATTTTTTTAATTGACTTTTATATAAAAAAAATCATCTGTTTATCCAGAGTTTTTTTATATTATTTATTTTGGTAATCTCTTAGATTGTTCCATCTAGTCTTTAACTCATCACCTAAAAATATAAAACAGATAAATAATCATATTGTTAGCTCAATTATTGATAGTATTTAATTTAATTAAAAAAATTAAGTTTGCTCCTAAATAATTATTCAAAGATATTGATTAACATTGTAACACCAAATTTAAGAATTAAATAGTAAGCTAAATCTTTTTATCTAAATACTTAGATGAGATATATTAATACAATAAATTTAACTCATCACCTCAAAAATATAAAACAGAGGTAATGAATGATCATATTGTTTGATCAATTCTAAATATATATATATAATTATTGAAAGTGTTCAATTTAATTGATAAAATATATTCAAAAAAATTTATGTTATATTTATAAAGTTTTAATACCTGATTCACCAAATTGTAGGCCTAAATTTATCAAAAATTCTGATTTTTTGCAATAATCCTTGTAACTTTAAACAAATTTATCATATATAAATTTAGATCCTCTAACAACTTCAATTAAATCTAACACATTAATTTTCATTTTTAACATGAACAAGCTAAAATATTAGAAATAAAAAATTATATTTAGTTATTTTTAACAAGTAAGTAACGTTATAACGCTCTATAAAATTTGCCGGATCAAAAAGTCAAAATGTTTTGACTTCAAAATTTGCCGGCGTTTTCAAGACGGAAGGTATCGGAACGGACGCACTATGAACATATATATCATTTTTAATGAGATTGACTTTTGACGGAACGGATAAAAATCGGATCCGTCTCCACTATGAAAGCAGCCTTAGTCTTTGACCACTTGTTATTTCATTTATGAAGAAACCAGTCGAGGGGGTGGCGAGGTTTGTAATTATGTTTGTTGGTAGAGTCTTTCCGTGAGTGATAGACTATCATATAACAATCAAGCCATGCCTTTTGTTAATCCTGGCCAACAATTACTGTTCTATTTCCTAAAACTTACGGAGCTGGTTCCTATTTCTGCGTCGTAGTTCCTTTCTTTCATATCTTTATTAATATCAAAGACCTTTTTCTCTATAAATTCTATCTATCACTCCATAGAATTTTGTTTCTCTGGAAAAGAAAAATAAAACCTTTGTTGTGTGGTGTTCGTTGCTGGATAGTCATAAACCTATTACTGACTAGTTTTGTCTATTCACTGGAATTTTCACCTATTTAAACAATTTGCGGTAAACCCATTAGCTTCTTTTTCTTATTTTCATGAATAAATTCTAATTTCAATTGATATGAACACATTCTTAATTATTGATAGTAATTGTCAAGGCTTACATTAGATGCTAAACTTAAAATTAGCCAGCACCCACCCTTAAAGTAATTAAATTATTTTTTTTTGGATATAGGCTTTTGTTTTGCCCATTTCTTTTGTTTATTAGCCTATAGACGTTTAAGCAACAGTTCTCGGATTGTTGCGCGTACAAGTACGTAAGGCTTGCCCACAAACGTGTGAAGGGTTCCTCATTTTTTTCCCTTAATTAACTATCCAGTTTGATCGATTTTTGAGGTTTATCCACAACCAGAGGGCGAAAACGCTTTTATCACGTATCACATAAATGCGTATCGTACAGCCTTTACTATTTTTCAGCCATAATTAGGGATTTTTTCGCATGACTTTTTGCTAAATTTTGCTTAAGCTTAAAATTTGTATGCTCAATTTAACAAGCTGATTGCTCAATATATACTTTTACTTTATAAATATTGCCTTATGATTCCATCACATTTTAGAAAATATGATAGTTATAATACTACTATGTATTACAAATTCACCAGGCCATCATGTGCAGGGAAAGGGATATTTAAAAATAATACCTTCCAAAAATCTAAATAGTGTACAAGTATATTTTTTGTTAATCTTATATAAATAATTATATTATAGCTCCTGCCTGCTTAGAAATAACACAAGTTAAGTCTATAGCCACACAAAGTAAAAATAATTCTAATTTTATAATTTATAAAAATTTATTTTATAGCTGATCCCATAAATGTAGATAGTATATCAGTAGCCACACAAAGTAAAATATAATTCTAACTTTATTTTAAAATTTTATCTGAAATATTTTCTCCAGCAACATTTGAGACCATAACCAACCAAGGTAAATTATATAATATATTACCAGAGTTGTTAAAAGATCGAATCAAAAGATCGACGATCCTGGATTCGATCGCAAATTTGTCAATTTTACGAGATTTATGATTCTGACTTAAATTGAGGATCGAGATCATTTTGTTTAAAATTCGATCCCGATCTTTTTAAAAATTAATTTTTTACTTAAAAAGCATTAAATAAAATAAAAATTTTGAAAATTAAATTAAAATATTTAAAAAAAATATCTATCTTCATATTTTATCAACTTCCATTCCACCACTTATTTTATAGATATATTTATTCATTTCCTAAATTTTACGAGATTTAGAGCTCTTACAAGTTATTTAATATAAATTTATAATAATATATTAATATTTATTTTAATAGGTAAATGTAAATGTCGATGTAACAGCAGATATAAGTGAATGAGAATCTTTTACCATTTTTGAAATTACGTAAGTATTTTACTTTATGTGAAATGGATGAAAGCAACTCTTATAATATGATCAGCACCAAATGCCGTCTCTGTAAGAGGATAATATCATCTTCCAAAATATCATCCTCGAACTTAAAGAGATATTTACAAGTAATTCTTTTAAATTTTTTTTATTTGCTTATCTTAATGTCAACATGTTTAAATTTAATTTATTACATTCCTGAGTTGAGCAGGTCCTACAGAAATAGAATCTAGACACAGATTCTTTTTTAAAAAAATGAATTATTAGATACAGTATAATTAATAAAATATTTGATGAAGAGTTAATCTTGGTTTTGTTATTTATATATAATAATTAGGCATTTATTTTTTAATATTACTATTATATTAGTTCAATTTTCAAAAGAAGAGTATTTATAATAAATGTAGTGTAATAACTAATAATTAAGTCTTTAAAATGTATTTTGACTTTCTTTATTATAATTAAAACATCCATTTCAATGTTATTTGTATTGAACTTAGCAATTTTTCACCAAAAGAAAAATAAATATCTATTCTATTATTTCTTTATTATAATATGTTAAATCTAATCAATTAGTATTATATTTTCAGTTTGAGCTTGATTATATAATCCTCTTGACAACATTTTTAGGGCTTTTTTTATTAATATATTTTGAATTGAAAGTATTTTTTATATCATTTGACTCAATCCATAAGTTCTTAAATGCCAAAAAGGCTCATTATGTTCATAATAGGAAAATGCTTTATCAAAATCTTTGGCCAAAATCATCTTGGGCAACTTTTAATAATGATAGAATTGTAACTTAAATTTTTGAGATAACCTACCCCCTTTTAACCACTAATAACATACTTTAATATGTTTAACAAAATTTGTTGAACCCTTTATCATATTTTTGTTTATATAGGTTTTACATTCAGCCTGTACATTGTTTTTTTTAACTTTAAATTTCCATATAAAATTTTAAAAATGAAATTTGATTCAGGAGAAGTTATTTTCATCTTTTATAAAGAAAAAGCACAATGAATTTAAAAATGAGATTACCAAACACCTCAACGAATTCTCTACACAAAAAAATATATCACTGCAAAACCAAAGTGGTTCTGGTTGCAAATCCAGACAATCTAAATTAAATTTTAACAATCTAAACATTCCAGCTGTATCGCAAAAAACAGCAGACAAGGTTATCATAGATTTTATTATTGACACCTTCCAACCACTGTCTCTGGTTGATGATCCTTCATTTGAAAAAATGATTAAACTTTTTCTCCTGCGACAAAAATTATTTGTCGCCAAACACTGGGCAACAGGATATCTACTTCCTTCTCTTGTCTGAAGTTTCTTATGTATGCACCACTGCTGATTGTTGGAGTGGTCATCGAAGGTATATTATATTTATTTATATGAATTTTATAATATTTATTTTATTAGGGCTTTTATTGGACTTACTGCACATTGGCTGGATCCGTAAACCCTCAAGAGAAGGTCAGCCGCTTTGGCACTGAGGAGGATAATTGGGAAGCAAACGTATGATGTTTTGGCCAATGAAATCATGGGTATCCACAAGTTCTATAAAATTCATAATAAGGTGGTGAAGAAGGTGACTGACAATGGAACCAACTTTGTCAAGGCATTTAAGTAATATTTATATTTAGCAAAAAATATTTAAATAAATTTATATTTTCTAGAGTTTTTGGAGAAAATGAAGAAGATAGTATTGAGGATATGGAATTGATAAATTTGGATGACATATTATCCGTTGATGACCCAATTATTCCTACTATCAGCCTACCAAAACATCAACGTTGTTGTTGCCCTAATCTTAACCTTATTGCAACAACAGATGCAAAGATGGCAGATAGTGATCTCAATTATAAACGTATCTAGATCCACTTTTGCAAAATGTTTTGCTTTAGTTAATAAACAAAATATGTCGTCAAAAATGGCGGATATTTTATTGGAGAAATTGGGAAGATATTTAATAGCTCCCAACAAGACAAGATGGAATTCTTATTCCCAACAGAAGTAGAACAAGTATGTGATCAAATTGGATTTGCAATGTTTAGGCAAGAGGAATGTTTTTTTATTAAAGAGCATGCAACAGTAATACAATGATATTCTCTAAATAAATTTAAATTTTATAGGTTATAGAACCTTTGGCGATCTCGTTAAAAATCTTGGAAAGGGAGGATAATATGGAGCAGGGATATCTAAATTCTATCGATATTGATAGATAAATTAACGAAATTTAACTGCCTGCGGTATTGTCAGCCCCTTGTAGAATGTGTTCTTAGAGGTATTGATAAAAGGTAATATTTTTTTATGCAATTATTTTATATTATCAGATATCTGCAAAATATATTAAAAAATTGCAAAGATCTGGCAAATTTAGTAAAATATTTTTAACAGGCCAGTTCTACTAAACCTCTGATATCTTGTAAAATATTAATGGGCCTTTGAAGACATTAAAAATTTATTAGATTATTTGAATTTTAAGCTAATATTTTGATTAATATTCTTTGTAAATAAATTACAATGTTAATTTCTTTGTATATTAAGTATTAAGTTTACATTTAATCAATATTTATGATCCCAAATATAAATAAATACCATACAGATGATGTGCCAGACTTGACTGTAAAATTTAAAAGGGTTAGGTTTTGCAGATACTTGATTTGATTTATATGAATAAAATGAACACTTATTTAATAATAAATTAATTATCATTTTATAATATAGATTTCCTTCACTGTATGAAGACAGTAACATTTTGGCAGCCATGATTCACCCTAAATTTAAACAACTTAATGGCCTTATATTAATCTGCACAAAATATGATGGTAAAAGAAAGATTAGTTGCCCATTTGGGAAATATGCAGGAACAACCATATGCGGATACCTCAAATGAATGTATGGATGACATTGATGCTTTTTTGGGAAAAAATACTGTACAATATTCTTGTTCCGTTAAAATTTTTTTATTCAAATGATGATTCCATGAATATTTTTAATACTTATATTAATTTTAAAAAAAAATTTATTGAATATAATACACCTTTGAGGAGCGCTTGTTTTGTAAAGCTAAACATGTTCTAAATGAAAGACGCGGATGTTTAAATGATGATAATTTAGAAAAAATTTTATTATTAAAAGCTAATTTTAATTATAAATAAATATATTATAATTGTTATATTTATTATTCAATTACAATAAATTTCTACCATATTTAATTTATTTTTATATTAGTTAATTTTGCATCGGTTATATTATATTATTACAATTACAATAAATTTATAACATATATTAGTTAATTTTGCATCGGTCAGAAATCTCCTTCAGAAATTTAAATAGAAAAAAGGTCGATCCTGGATTTCGATCCTCTTTTTTTGAAAAGTTCGTGATCGGGATTCGATCGTTTTAAAAAGATCGGTTAACAAGCCTGTATATTACTAATATGCTATCTTGTTAACCTGAAAATTGTATTCTTAGCATCAAATAATATGATCCCTCCAACTATATGTCATCTTGTTAACTTGGAAATTTTTTCTTAGCATCAAATAATATGATCCCTCCAACCAACCAAAGTAAATTTAAAATATGCCATCTTATTAACTTGGAAATTTTATTCTTAGCATCAAATAATATGATCCCTCCAACTAACCAAAGTAAATTTAAAATATGTCATCTTGTTAACTTGGAAATTTTATTCTTAGCATCAAATAATATGATCCCTCCAACTAACCAAAGTAAATTTAAAATATGTCATCTTGTTAACTTGGAAATTTTATTCTTAGCATCAAATAATATGATCCCTCCAACTAACCAAAATAAATTTAAAATATGTCATCTTGTTAACTTGGAAATTTTATTCTTAGCATCAAATAATATGATCCCTCCAACCAACCAAAGTAAATTTAAAATATGCCATCTTATTAACTTGGAAATTTTATTCTTAGCATCAAATAATATGATCCCTTCAACCAACCAAAGTAAATTTAAAATATGCCATCTTATTAACTTGGAAATTTTATTCTTAGCATCAAATAATATGATCCCTCCAACTAACCAATGTAAATTTAAAATATGCCATCTTATTAACTTGGAAATTTTATTCTTAGCATCAAATAATATGATCCCTCCAACCAACCAAAGTAAATTTAAAATATGCCATCTTATTAACTGGAAATTTTATTCTTAGCATCAAATAATATGATCCCTCCATCCAACCAAAGTAAATTTAAAATATGTAATCTTGTTAACTTGGAAATTTTATTCTTAGCATCAAATAATATGATCCCTCCAACCAACCAAAGTAAATTTAAAATATGTCGTCTTGTTAACTTGGAAATTTTATTCTTAGCATCAAATAATATGATCCCTCCAACTAACCAAAGTAAATTTAAAATATGCTACTAATTTTATCTGGAAATTATCTTTTATAGGCATTGAAGATTATTCGTATAAATTTATAAAATCTAAATTTAATAATAATTTAATCTATTCAAATAAATATTTATATCATCGCAATAGAGGATATTTTTATAAATGTCGTTTACAAAGTTGTAAGGGAAGGGGTATATTAGGTACTCATTTTATCATGACTAAGCAACATAATCATGATAATGATGAAGAGTATTATGAACTTTTACTTACATTAAATGAATTAAAAAATCAAACAAAATTAAATAAATATTTAAGCTTACATAAAATATATAAAAAGGTTATGCGCGAAAGGAAATTAGATTCCTTTGCGATGCGACATCCTAAAACCTTACCAACATTTTTGTCGGTAAATACAATTATGGCACGCGTTATTCAATCGACGCGGCCATTCTTACCTCGCACAAATGCTGATATAGCATTGCTCGAGGAACATAAAGTCACAATAACTAATAATAATTTTTTAATTTGTAATGATAAATTATTTATTTTTTCTACTCGTATACTTTTATCTCGCCTTTGTTTGGCAGATAAAATATATCTAGATGGCACGTTTAATGCCGCCCCTAAACTATTTAAACAATTTTACACTATAAATATTATTATAAATAATACATTAATTATCTGTGCGTATATTCTTTTACCAGATAAATATAAAAATACATATATTCGAATGTTTTATTTATTAAAAAATTATTGCTTATCATTAGGTTTAATTTTTTCGCCACCAAGTGCAACAATAGATTTTGAAAATGGCTTATTTTTAGCCCTAAAGGAAATTTTTCCAAGAATTATTGTTACGCGTTGCTATTTCCATTTCTGTCAATGCATCGTATGACGCATTCAGGAATATCGCCTGACCCAACTACACAGGCGAAATCCTTATATTCATAAATTTTTTCGTATTATAATGGCCATCCTATTTTTATTAGAAAGGGATGTGCCATCTATAATGATTGAGTTAACTAACCAAGCTCGATCTTTTCAATTAAGTTCTATTTTAGATTTTTTAAATTATTTTGAAAATACTTGGATTAACAGTAATGCCAAGTTCAAATATGAAATGTGGAACACATTTGATGTTAGAGGGGTGAGGACGAATAACCACGTTGAAGGATTTAATCGTGCTTTAAAGGAATACGTTCCTTATCCTCACTCCAATATTTATTTATTTATTGATATCATTAAAAATATAGAACAAAATATGGATCTGATGTTGATGCAATTAGATGATGGGCGAAAAGTTACCGAAAGAAGAAAAAATATATCTTATTAGATTATAAAATAAGAGAGATAATGATACTTTATTGTGGAAATTTATATAGTCCCATTGAATATTTGGATAAAATATCCAGATATTTATATTCTAAAAAATTTATTGGTGTTTAGCTCATTTTTTTGTACTGGTGACTTTTTGTCCATCATCTAATCAATTTGTTTTATATTTTTTTTGAAATCATTAAAAAAATATCATTACTGTTGATCCAAGTTATTTTATTGTAGTTGGGTTTGGCTGAAATGGTATATGCCAATTTCAAAATCTATTTATGTTCCTCAACTATTGTTATATCATCATTTGTGGAGAGTTTTATATGGTAAAAGTTCATAATACTAATCATAATGTTATTGAGATTGGAATGCCTGAATGGTACACTACCCTTCTGTTGTAATGTAAACTTTTTTAATGTATATTTTATTTGATAAAGTGATTTATTTTAACAGATGTATTAATTTTATGTAAATGACTGATGATATTTATTACATTAACGAAATTGTAAAAATCACTTTTTCATTTTATATAAACTTTTGATTTAATTTAATTTTATAATAATAAAAAAAATATAAAGAGAAAGTTAACAAAATTTTATCTCAGAGTATCGCCATCAGAGGCGATACTCTTATTCCAATAAAATATATATGTTAAATTAAATAAAATTTCAATAATTATTAGATTCTTTTATTCAATTTATAAAAGATGAATATTCTTTTTAAATTACAAATATGAAACCTTCCTTTGTATATTTTTTTATCAGTTTGTATAACTTATATTTATTGTCGTTATATTTTTTTTATAAATTATTTCAATTCAAAATTATCATTTTTATTATTGTTTCGCGCACTTTTATAAAATTATTTTTTTTATTTAACCTGATATATGTAAATTCTTATAAAAATTTTTTTTAATATTGTCTACGCGAATTTTTAGAAAAATTTTATAATGAATAATAATTTAATGTTTTGTATTGTCAAATTATACACTTGAAATAAAAAGAAATTAATATGTATCCATAAGTTAATCAGATATTTAAAGGAATAATAGTAATAACCTACTGTAAAAATTATATCAAAGGAGTTCTTAGTAAGAAAAAATAATCAACGATCCCATTAATCTTTAGAAATAACAAAAAAAATGAGTTAATCAGATATTTAAAGGAATAATAAGTATATATACATACTATAAAAATTTTATTTATATAGTTCCTAGTAAAAAAATTAACGATTTCATTAATCATTAGAAATTACAAAAAATATTAAAATATATGAGTAAATGTGATATTTATAGAAATAATAAATATCTATTTTCCATTTACCCTCAAATTTATTTTCTACCCAGCTACAAGTCTCATGAAATTATATACAGAAAACGAGGTAAATAAATGACTCCTAGTTTACCATTATAGGTTATTTTTTAGAATAAATATTACAAAAAAATTGATTTATATTTTTATTATTAAACAGATAAGTTATCTAATGCAGAAGAAAAATTTGTTATGAATTATTATAAAAAATATATATAATATTGAATAAATTCTATTTATTAAATATGTTAATAATATTAAAATATGCAATTTATATTATAAATATATTAAATAAATTATATTAATTATTATATTTTAATAAAATCTTATAATCTTACAATTTAATAAATTTACATATTTTTCATATCTAATTTAAATAAATATGTATTTTCAATATTATATTATATTATTAATTTATATAAATATTTAATACTAAAATTATATATTTTCTAATATTTATATTAATAAACTTTTCTTTATATCAAATTAATTAAATATTAAATAATTTACTTTAAATAGTAAAATCTGTCTAATCTGTAAAGTTTAAATTTTTTAATATTTTTAAATCTCTCACTTCAAACTTATAGGGGCCATTTTGTCAGCCATTTTAGCTTAGCTTTTTTAACATTATTTAATAATAGTAATTGCGGGTTACAGTCAAATATCCACAATAAAGTATCATTATCTCTCTTATTTTATAATTTAATAAGATATATTTTTTCTTCTTTCGGTAACTTTTCGCCCATCATCTAATTGCATCAACATAAGATCCATATCTTGTTCTATATTTTTAATGATATCAATAAATAAATAAATATTGGGGTGAGAATAAGGAACGTATTCCTTTAAAGCACGATTAAATCCTTCAACGTGGTTATTCGTCCTCACCCCTCTAACATCAAATGTGTTCCACTTCATATTTGAACTTGGCATTACTGTTAATCCAAGTATTTTTAAAATAATTTAAAAAATCTAAAATAGAACTTAATTGAAAAGATCGAGCTTGGTTAGTTAACTCAATCATTATAGATGGCACATCCCTTTCTAATAAAAATGGGATGGCCATTATAATACGAAAAAATTTATGAATATAAGGATTTCGCCTGTGTAGTTGGGTCAGGCGATATTCCTGAATGCGTCTTACGATGCATTGACAGAAATGGAAATAGCAACCCTTAACAATAATTCTTGGAAAAATTTCCTTTAGGGCTAAAAATAAGCCATTTTCAAAATCTATTGTTGCACTTGGTGGCGAAAAAATTAAACCTAATGATAAGCAATAATTTTTTAATAAATAAAACATTCGAATATATGTATTTTTATATTTATCTGGTAAAAGAATATATGCACAGATAATTAATGTATTATTTATAATAATATTTATAGTGTAAAATTGTTTAAATAGTTTAGGGGCGGCATTAAACGTGCCATCTAGATATATTTTATCTGCCAAACAAAGGCGAGATAAAAGTATACGAGTAGAAAAAATAAATAATTTATCATTACAAATTAAAAAATTATTATTAGTTATTGTGACTTTATGTTCCTCAAGCAATGCTATATCAGCATTTGTGCGAGGTAAGAATGGCCGCGTCGATTGAATAACGCGTGCCATAATTGTATTTACCGACAAAAATGTTGGTAAGGTTTTAGGATGTCGCATCGCAAAGGAATCTAATTTCCTTACGCGCATAACCTTTTTATATATTTTATGTAAGCTTAAATATTTATTTAATTTTGTTTGATTTTTTAATTCATTTAATGTAAGTAAAAGTTCATAATACTTTTCATCATTATCATGATTATGTTGCTTAGTCATCATAAAATGAGTACCTAATATACCCCTTCCCTTACAACTTTGTAAACGACATTTATAAAAATATCTATTGCGATGATATAAATATTTATTTGAATAGATTAAATTATTATTAAATTTAGATTTTATAAATTTATACGAATAATCTTCAATGCCTACAAAAGATAATTTCCAGATAAAATTAGTAGCATATTTTAAATTTACTTTGGTTAGTTGGAGGGATTATATTATTTGATGCTAAGAATAAAATTTCCAAGTTAATAAGATGGCATATTTTAAATTTACTTTGGTTGGTTGGAGGGATCATATTATTTGATGCTAAGAATAAAATTTCCAAGTTAACAAGATGACATATTTTAAATTTACTTTGGTTAGTTGGAGGGATCATATTATTTGATGCTAAGAATAAAATTTCCAAGTTAATAAGATGGCATATTTTAAATTTACTTTGGTTGGTTGGAGGGATCATATTATTTGATGCTAAGAATAAAATTTCCAAGTTAATAAGATGGCATATTTTAAATTTACTTTGGTTGGTTGGAGGGATCATATTATTTGATGCTAAGAATAAAATTTCCAAGTTAATAAGATGGCATATTTTAAATTTACTTTGGTTGGTTGGAGGGATCATATTATTTGATGCTAAGAATAAAATTTCCAAGTTAACAAGATGACATATTTTAAATTTACTTTGGTTAGTTGGAGGGATCATATTATTTGATGCTAAGAATAAAATTTCCAAGTTAATAAGATGGCATATTTTAAATTTACTTTGGTTGGTTGGAGGGATCATATTATTTGATGCTAAGAATAAAATTTCCAAGTTAATAAGATGGCATATTTTAAATTTACTTTGGTTGGTTGGAGGGATCATATTATTTGATGCTAAGAATAAAATTTCCAAGTTAATAAGATGGCATATTTTAAATTTACTTTGGTTGGTTGGAGGGATCATATTATTTGATGCTAAGAATAAAATTTCCAAGTTAATAAGATGGCATATTTTAAATTTACTTTGGTTGGTTGGAGGGGTCATATTATTTGATGCTAAGAATAAAATTTCCAAGTTAACAAGATGACATATTTTAAATTTACTTTGGTTAGTTGGAGGGATCATATTATTTGATGCTAAGAATAAAATTTCCAAGTTAACAAGATGACATATTTTAAATTTACTTTGGTTAGTTGGAGGGATCATATTATTTGATGCTAAGAATAAAATTTCCAAGTTAATAAGATGGCATATTTTAAATTTACTTTGGTTGGTTGGAGGGATCATATTATTTGATGCTAAGAATAAAATTTCCAAGTTAACAAGATGACATATTTTAAATTTATTTTGGTTAGTTGGAGTGATCATATTATTTGATGCTAAGAATAAAATTTCCAAGTTAACAAGATGACATATTTTAAATTTACTTTGGTTAGTTGGAGGGATCATATTATTTGATGCTAAGAATAAAATTTCCAAGTTAACAAGATGACATATTTTAAATTTACTTTGGTTAGTTGGAGGGATCATATTATTTGATGCTAAGAATAAAATCTCCAAGTTAATAAGATGGCATATTTTAAATTTACTTTGGTTGGTTGGAGGGATCATATTATTTGATGCTAAGAATAAAATTTCCAAGTTAATAAGATGGCATATTTTAAATTTACTTTGGTTGGTTGGAGGGGTCATATTATTTGATGCTAAGAATAAAATTTCCAAGTTAACAAGATGACATATTTTAAATTTACTTTGGTTAGTTGGAGGGATCATATTATTTGATGCTAAGAATAAAATTTCCAAGTTAACAAGATGACATATTTTAAATTTACTTTGGTTAGTTGGAGGGATCATATTATTTGATGCTAAGAATAAAATTTCCAAGTTAATAAGATGGCATATTTTAAATTTACTTTGGTTGGTTGGAGGGATCATATTATTTGATGCTAAGAATAAAATTTCCAAGTTAACAAGATGACATATTTTAAATTTATTTTGGTTAGTTGGAGTGATCATATTATTTGATGCTAAGAATAAAATTTCCAAGTTAACAAGATGACATATTTTAAATTTACTTTGGTTAGTTGGAGGGATCATATTATTTGATGTTAAGAATAAAATTTCCAAGTTAACAAGATGACATATTTTAAATTTACTTTGGTTAGTTGGAGGGATCATATTATTTGATGCTAAGAATAAAATCTCCAAGTTAATAAGATGGCATATTTTAAATTTACTTTGGTTGGTTGGAGGGATCATATTATTTGATGCTAAGAATAAAATTTCCAAGTTAATAAGATGGCATATTTTAAATTTACTTTGGTTGGTTGGAGGGGTCATATTATTTGATGCTAAGAATAAAATTTCCAAGTTAACAAGATGACATATTTTAAATTTATTTTGGTTAGTTGGAGGGATCATATTATTTGTTGCTAAGAATAAAATTTCCAAGTTAACAAGATGACATATTTTAAATTTACTTTGGTTAGTTGGAGGGATCATATTATTTGATGCTAAGAATAAAATTTCCAAGTTAACAAGATGACACATTTTAAATTTACTTAGGTTAGTTAGAGGGATCATATTATTTGATGCTAAGAATACAATTTCCAGGTTAACAAGATAGCATATTAGTAATATATTTTATAATTTACCTTGGTTGGTTATGATCTCAAATGTTGCTGGAGAAAATATTTCAGATAAAATTTTAAAATAAAGTTAGAATTATATTTTACTTTGAGTGGCTACTGATATACTATCTACATTTATGTAATCAGCTTAAAATAAATTTTTATAAATTATAAAATTAGAATTATATTTTACTTTGTGTGGCTATAGATTTAACTTGTGTTATTTCTAAGCAGGCAGGAGCTATAATATAATTATTTTATATAAGATTAACAAAAAATATACCTGTACAATATTTAGATTTTTGGAAGGTATTATTTTTAAATATCCCTTTCCTTGCACATGATGGCCTGGTGCATTTGTAATACATAGTAGTATTATAACTATCATATTTTCTAAAATATGACGGAATCATAAGGCAATATTTATAAAGTAAAAATAAATATTGAGCAATCAGCTTGTTAAATTGAGCATACAAATTTTAAGCTTAAGCAAAATTTAGCAAAAAGTCATGCGAAAAAATCCCTAATTATGGCTGAAAAATAGTAAAGGCGGTACGATACGGTAATTGCGGACTGTAACCACATAAATGCTCAATAATAATAATATATTTTTAAAAATTTACAATTTTATATCAAATAATTTGTTTATAATGTAATTAAGTAAAATAATCAAATGAATCCTAACCTCAACTGATCTTCAATTAAATTATATTGGTATTCTCTAAAATAAAAAAACTCAACATTTACTCCAACAGTACTACATAATATCATTAATTTACTTTCGCCCAGAAATTATTCAGAGACATAGATTGCCACAATATCACTGATATAAAACTCACCAAAATTATACTCTTACAAGATATTCCATACTTATATCTATTACACCCTCAAATATTCAACCAAATAAGGTCCACTGCCTATATATAATTGCCAAAAAAACTTATCACCCAGATTCCTTTGACTCAATCAAGAAAATACTTATTTCAATCATAGTTTTAATTTAATTTATCTACTTGATTAATATTATTATATAAATATAAATTTATTTTTAAACATTCCTCAACCATTTAAACCCCAATTATTTGGTATCGGTCCGATCCGTTTGTCTGTCTTTTGTCATTATACCATTTCGCTTCAAAATTTCGAAATATTTCCTAGAAAAAGTCTTTACTTCAATATTGAATTTGTGTTTATCTCCTTAAAGGAAAAGGTAATTGTTTTAATTAAAATTTTTACATATTAATATTTTAAAGTATTTACTTCAATACTGTTATTGTGGCAATCTCATTTACATCAATATTGTATATCTGTTTATCTCCTTAAAGGAAAAGGTAATTGTTTTAATTAAAATTTTTACATATTAATATTTTAAAGTATTTACTTCAATACTGTTATTGTGGCAATCTCATTTACATCAATATTGTATATCTGTTTATCTCCTTAAAGGAAAAGGTAATTGTTTTAATTAAAATTTTTACATATTAATATTTTAAAGTATTTACTTCAATACTGTTATTGTGGCAATCTTAAATAATGATACCAACTTCATACCGAAAATCCAAATATTATAAATGTAAAATTTATTATATTTGTACTTCTCCAACCTGCCATGGTAGAGGATTTACATTAAATAATGTATTTACTCTGACAGCAGAATGCAATGGTAAATTATTTAATCTGCAAGATTTTAATATACAAGATGTAATTTATTATTTTCTAGATATTTGCAAGTACTTGACTGCAAGAAGAGGAAGTATTTTACAATATAATATGAAAATCAAATTAGTATATTTTTCCTTAAGTATCAGAAATGAAGATAATGTGACTTCTGTGAATATTCATGAACAAGAAGATGGAAGTGCTGTGGGGATTTCTGGGATCCTTGAAGAAGGTCCGGAGTCGATATCCTCGATGATCAATCCTATTCGAGAAGATGCTGATTTTGGTTAATCAAAATTTTTTAATATATTTTCTTTTTAATTTTATCATAGTTAATCAAAATTTTGTTAGTATATTTTCTTTTTAATTTTATCATAATTGATCAAAAATATATTTTTCCTTAAGAATCGATAAGTAGAAATGAAGAGATCGTGACTTCTGTGATTAATCATGAACAAGAAGATGGAGGTGCTGTGGGGATTTCTGGGATCCTTGAAGAAGGTCCGGAGTCGATATCCTCGATGATCAATCCTATTCGAGAAGATGCTGATTTTGGTTAATCAAAATTTTTTAATATATTTTCTTTTTAATTTTATCATAGTTAATCAAAATTTTGTTAGTATATTTTCTTTTTAATTTTATCATAATTAATCAAAAATATATTTTTCCTTAAGAATCGATGGGTAGAAATGAAGAGATTGTGACTTCTGTGATTAATCATGAACAAGATGATGGAGAGGATGATCTCCATGTTTTACCATTTTTGGACGAAAGTTTTATAGATGAAGAAGTTGTAATCGATATCTCCATTGCAGCTGATAGCTCTGTAACTTTACCAATATCAGTTAATAACATTCAATTCTCATATTTAAATGTAGAACAGCATATAATTTTATTCTTTCCCAAAAAAAACGTAATTTGTTATATTCAAATAAATTTCTATATGTTCATCATAAGTTTGGAATTTTATTTAAATGTAGACTAAGTCATTGTACGGCAAGAGGTACATTATTAAATATGCAGTTTACATTGACACATATTCACAACCATCATTCTGAATCTGAGGAAGAGCATTATGCAATTTTAGTAACTATGAATAAACTTAAATAACAAATTCGAGCGTACCCCTATCAAAGCAAACGTAAAACATATAATCAAGTTATGCGTATTAGAAAAATGGATCCTCTCGTTCAACTCTATTCTAATGCTCTACCAACATTTCTATCTGTCAAAACTATTATGAATCGTGTTATTAAATCATTGAGACCACCTTTGCCTCTTATAAATTCTGATATCCGATTATACGGGGATTATAAATTAACACTTGATAATAAGACTTTTTTAATTTGTAATGAAAATAATGAATTATTAATATTTTCTACACATGAACTACTTGAAAGTCTCTGTAATGCCGACCAAATTTTGATGGACGGCACATTTTTTTCGTGTCCTATATTATTTAAGCAATTATACACTATTCATATAATGATTAATCATACAATAATTCCTTGCGCATATATATTATTGCCAAATAAAAATAAAGAAACGTATCTAAAAATGTTGAATCTTTTAAAAAACTATTGCCGATCTATAGGTTTTTCCTTTTCTCCTTCTAAAGCACTTATAAATTTCGAAATGGGAGCACTTACAGAACTCGAAGAAATTTTTCCAACCATTTCTGTCAAGGGATGCTACTTTCATTATTGTCAATGCATTTTAAGACGAATACAGGGTAATAGGTTGACAGCATATAGTCGTCTTAATCCTGATTTTAAGAGATTTTATCGCAGACTAATGGCGATACCTTTCTTAACCGAAATCGACATACGATTGGTACTGTCAGAATTAAATAATGAAGTAGAGGCCTTTATAGATCCCATAAGAGATCTCTTTACATACTTTAAAAGTACTTGGATTAACCCAAACGCTAAATTTAAATATAAGATGTGGAACATGTATGATGTTCAAGGTGTTAGAACAAATAACCATGTTGAGGGATTTCATCGTTCTTTAAAAGAGTATATAACATATTCTCATCCTAATTTATATCTTTTTATTGATATATTAAAACAAATACAACAAGATATGGATATAAAATTTATCCAATTGCGTAATGGGAAAAAAGTTACCGAAAGAAAAAAAAATACTGTATAATAGACGAGAAAATCAGACAAGAAACATTTTTATATTACACTACTTATACACCAATGTTTAATATCGAAAAAAAATAATGATATACCTGCTGACTAGATTATTTTTCATTTAATTTTTTTTTTCGATATTAAATATCTTATCCAAGATATGCGAAAATAAAGATTTTAATTCACAGAAATATCTTCGTAGAATATTTGATTTTTTGACTTTCTAAATACTACTAAGGTGTATAGGTAGTGTAATATAAAAATATTTCTTGTCTATTTTGCAGTATTTTTTTTTCTCTCGGTAACTTTTTTCCCATTTATTTGTTTTAACATATCAATAAAAATATATAAATTAGGATAAGTAACAATAAGTAATATACACTTATAGAACGATGAAATCCTTCAACATGGTTATTTGTTCTTACACCTTGAACATCATACATGTTCCACATCTTATATTTAAATTTAGCGTTTGGGTTAATCCAAGTACTTTTAAAGTATGTAAAGAGATCTCTTATGGGATCTAAATTAAAGGCCTCTACTTCATTATTTAATTCTGACAATACCAATGGTATGTCGATTTCGGTTAAGAAAGGTATCGCCATTAGTCTGCGATAAAATCTCTTAAAATCAGGATTAAGAATTCTATATGCTGTCAACCTATTACCCTGTATTCGTCTTAAAATACATTGACCATAATGAAAATAGCAGGTTGTAAATATTTATTCGAGTTTGTAAGTACTCTCATTTAAAAATCTATAATGGCTTGGAGAAAAGAAAATACCTATAGATCGACAATGGTTATTTTTAGAATTCTTTATTTTTATTTGGCAATAATATATACGCGCAAAGAATTATTGTATGAATAGTGTATAATTGCTTAAATAATATAGGACACGAAAAAAATGTGCCGCCCATCAAAATTTGGTCGGCATTACAGAGACTTTCAAGTAGTTCATGTGTAGAAAATATTAATAATTCATTATTTTCATTACAAATTAAAAAAAGTCTTATTATCAAGTATTAATTTATAATCGGATATCAGAATTTATGAAAGGCAAAGGTGGTCTCAATGATTTAATAACACGATTCATAATAGTTTTGACAGATAGAAATGTTGGTAGAGCATTAGAATAGAGTTGAACGAGAGGATCCATTTTTCTAATACGCATAACTTGATTATATGTTTTGATAGTTGTAAGCTCTAATTTGTTCTTTAAGTTTATTCATAGTTACTAAAATATAATTCTCTTCTTAATATTCATCAGGCTGGTTGTGAATATGTGTCAATGTAAACTTCATATTTAATAATATTCCGATAATAGTTTTCACAGAAAGAAATGTTGTTATAGCATTGAAATGGAGTTGAACACTTTTGCTTAGATAAAGTATGTTAGATATTAACTTGCATATTCACATTCAACAGATTCAATTGTTATGCATATATTTTTATTAAAAATCGTAAAAAACGTTAAATTATAAAGGTTGAAATTATTATTTTTGGGGAAAAGTAAAATTATATGACTGAATCGATATTTACATTGTGGATGTATGTTGTTTTATTTGTGAGGAAAAGATTGGTGAAATCGATTACATCTTTTTCATCCATAAAATTTTTGTCTAGTTTTTTTCAATATGTTATAGTTCGACAATTAATTTTTACATTACAAATAGAATCTGAATGTCATATTATTTATAATTAAATATTATATTTTATTATAGGATATTTGCAGCTTTTTAATTTTTTGTCATATAAATTGAGAATTTTTGAAAATATATTTTAAAATAAAACTTTATTATTCATATTTTTTGTATCAGGTCTAAATATATGGAAGGAGATAATTTATAAAAGAAATGTAGAATATAAATATAATCATTATTATATTCATAAAATCAATTTCACATTTTTAACTTAAAACAATCGATTAATTAATTATTAGACTTTTCACATGTCTTGGTCAATAATAGGTATAAAAATTATAAATATAAAATCTGATTACTTTAAAAAATATAGACTTAGAATTTAAATAAATATGTAATTGAAACTTACCTAATCTTAACAATTTAATAGATTAGAAATAATTAAACACTTTTGATTTAGATTTTATTAAAAAATAATTACTTAATGTGATTTGCTGGATGATGTTAACTTTTCAAAATTTAGTTATCCACAGTTAAAGATCTTGATAAATATATGCACATTTCACTATCAATGTAAAGTTTAACATAGCTTCGAATCTGAAGGGTTCAGAAATTTAAAATGGTTTGGTTGGATATTTTCAGAAGACAAAGCCTAAAGACCTAGAATACAATAGAAATGACAATTTATTACAAATAAGTAACATGGACTTAAAACATAAACACCACAATAAATTTTAAATATATGCGTAGTTAAGGATTTCATCTGGTAATATCTATAATCAGTGTCTACATGGCCGGGGTGGGTAGGAGACATAGCCTCCAAATTATTCAACCCTAGAACTCGAGGGCAATGCAATATTAAATTTAATATATATTTTTTTATATAAGTAAAATCATCAAAATTTTTCATTCGATTATTTTTAGATTTAAAAAAATGCGTCTAAAAGATTTTCAATAATATTATTCCAAAAAAATCATCGATAGTTGGTGTCTTTTTTGATGTGTCTAAAATTATAATAATAATAGTTAAAATTATACCTAAAACGAATTATTTGTTATAAGATATTCGATTTGATTAGATTCGTATTTTACGAATACGAATAACACAATTTCGATTGAAAAATTCTAATAGGAAAATATATTATTCGATCGAATAATTCGAGATTATTCGATTAAAATAATTTATTAATAATATATTATTAGTAGGAATTATTTACAATTATTCCTATTTAATAAAATTTCCTAGGAAAAATGAAGAAACATTTTATATTTCTAAATGTTGTTAACGGCTGTTTTTATTCGAATAATTCATAATACAAAATTAACCTCTGAAAATTGTTTTATGATGGACGAAGAAAGTATTTATTTATATGTAATTTATAACTCATATACAATTTTAAATAACTAGCTATCCCGTTAAGAATGACGGGCGAACCAGATATTTTTTCTTTAAAAATTTGTTATTGGTATATTTGTTCTACATGATATGAATATTATATTGATTTTTCTACATTATTATACTATATATGTATCTATATTATCTTACTAATAAAATTCAAAGTTAAATTTTACAAAATAAATTTAATATTATCTTTTTTAATTTACGGTTAAATAAAATTTTCAAATTGAATTGAATATTCGACGAATCGAATCGAATAATCATTTTATTATTCCTACGAATATGAATTATTCGATTCGATTCGTATTTTTGTATATCTAGTTAAAATAATGTAAAGGATAAGTGGCATAAATGGCTATATGAAGATAATTATTGAAAATTTTTTAGTCTAATGCACACACACACAGTATAGAATGAGGAAGGTGAGAGAAAAAAAATAGGTAGGGAGCTTTAAGATATCTCTTCCAAAATACTCAGTGGGGCATATTAAAAAAATATATTTAAGCTTTTTATCTTAGATAAAAATAGAAAATAGTGGATAAAAATTTGGTATATTATTTTACGTCATATTAAATCTTTATAACTGTCATCTGACAGTTTGTCAATAACCTTTCTTTTATACCTGACAAAACATAGATGCAAGATTATAGGTTTATTCTATTATTATCTGAAATCATTTATATTAATCCAGGATTATGATATGTTTTAATAGTCTTTCTTAATATATATAAATAAATATTATTTTATATATATTTAAATATTTTATTTATAATTGTTATATATATTTATATAAAGTTAAATGTTATTTCTATATTAATACAATTAAAAAAATTAATATGTTTTACTTTAGTAGTAATATTGTGTAAATTATTGTATAAATATTTATAAATTTATTAAAATTTTAAAAATGTTAAAAATAAAATTTAAAAAAATGTCTAGTTTGTATTCACCATCTTTCTTCTTTTTAACGCGAAAACAGCTGTGGGAATATTTAGGACCCGAACAATGATATATATAACTATAGATTGACGATTCATTCATTCAATGCATTATAAAAGTGTCCACATATTGTAATCAGCTGTAGCGCCATTTTGTAGTTTGGTTATCCATTATTTGTCAGCAAGAAATATTAATATATAGAAAACAAGTCTACTACGATAATTTAGTTTTAAAGGTTTCGATTTATGATATAATATTTTATAGTATCTTTTATTCTTAAATTTTCATAAGACTTTTTTTATGAATGTGGACTAGGTGATTATATTTAAAAAATGAATCTAAGACTAACCCACCTTTTAATTTTTTAAAATATAGTTTAACTTAATTCTGCACGGATTTATAAATCTTATGTTAATGCATCTAAGGATACATGCAAAACAGATCTTTTAATATCACTATCATTTATTATTTTATTTAGATAATGGGAGTGTGCTGTGTTCATAATTGTAATAAAACAAATAAAATGGAATCTAATACACATATTTCTTATCATAAGTATATATATTATTTTTTATATGCAACATATTTATTACATAAAGCATTAATAAGCTACAAACATTGAAAAAAAATCCTTATTTAGTAAAAATATAAAGTTTTCTCATTTTTACTGCTAGGACAAATAATGCTTCTTCCTCTTGAGTTGATAAGATTTCTATTTTGAACTTTGCCTAAATATTTTTCTGGATAAAATATTAAGTTAGCCATTTTTAAAATACATTTTTACTATGATACAGTTTCATTTTTAAATATTTGTAAGAAATATGTAAACCATATATATATTAATAGAGGCTCTGCCAATCAACAAATTTTCACTGATTCAATTCTATATTACTAATAACTGATCTGATATTAATATTGATTGTTATATACTATCTATCTTTGTATCAATGTCATAAATATATCTTATATTTTACTCATTATTATTCACCTATTTTTAAATATAGATTTCCATTAAAATCCAAAGAATTATTGGA